TAAATTACTTCTATAGACAAGATCTAGATTTTGATTGGCCAGACAATAGCACAATGCCAGCCCATTTTCTATAACAAAATAATCCCAAAAGCCATGATTTATCTCCTACTCAGAATGCAGAATTAAACAAATTTCCTATTAAAGCATCAATACACTTAACATGGCATGTACTAGTTAGACTAACATCTTACAGGCAATTTATTTTTAGCACCTGTGACATATGTTATGACATATGTGGCACTCCATAACACAAACTACTGTGATGTACGTGTTCATGTTGAGTTTTTCAAGTGTTATACACTTGCAATTATCACCACTATTTATTTTGTAAACGAGCTCACATGTGACAAATCTCCAAAAAGAATCACTATATTCAACTGATGCTTAAGCTATCTTAAACTAACTGGTGGTGTCCTGGCTTATGAAACGCCAAACATCCTGGTAACACTACAGACCGGAATCAATTTTCAAAACAACAACAACAAATGAGACAAAAGAGTTTTGCTCTATGATTATTTTTGATGGTCATAAATATCAGAGATCACTATAAATATGATGAAAAACTCAATGACAATGAATGTGAAATTTATAAGAATTTTGTATGTAAAATATTATACTCTTTATCGTTCGTCCGACCATCTGTTAGTCCGCTGTACATTCACTTAGTTTGTTTTTATTTCGCTAAAATCTTCACTTAGCTCGGTGGCCACACAAGAGCTCATTTCTGCTGGTTATTGAAAGGTCATTTTGTGTTTCTTAACCAAAAGAAAAGAAAATGATTGAAATTGTTCAAAAGAAATGTCAACAATAATAAGACGATTGACTTATTAACGATGATACTTAAAGGAAATCCGTCGACACATCAAAACAGCAAACATTGGTAAGGATTTTGCATTCTTGTTTTATTATCTATTATCATGTATTACATTTTACTGTGTGTTTGGTCTGGTCTGACCACCTGAGTTATTCTTGTAAGTCCTTTAAATTCTGAATCGCTATAATGATATTCAACATACTTTAGTGAAATGTTCTTCTCAATATGCGACCGGTTATCTCAATCTGTGTGGCTTTCTTTTTTCACGCCCGATGGCAATTTAAGTCCAGTAGTTTTAACCATTATTACTTTACTTTAATACAATTCAAATTATCTTGATGTGTACCTTTCTTCGAAACATCGTGTGCAGAAATTATTTTATTGCGTTTTGTTCTTTATGGTATATTTCTCGCATCTTTCCTTGAGCAATGAAAACAGTGTAAAGTTGCTGGGTTTTCTAATGAACTTTCCGTCATTAACAATTTGCGATATATTTAATTCGTTATACAAGTACTGACGGGATATACGGGAACTTTATAGCCTTTCTGACACACATATAGCCCTCGGCTGGCGCTTCGGGTCATAACTTTTTCATTCAGGCTATATTTTTCAGTAAATCTCGTGTGTAACTTGTATTACCAACATTATACAGCTCACACGAAAAATAGCCAACCGTAAGCTGTATACGTAAAGATGCTGTTTATCTTAGTATATAACTCATTTTTGTTGATGATCATCTTTTTTTCGACAATGTCGTTAGTAGAATCATCGTCGTCATAAATGTTTTGTTAGAAATGTGGAAGTTGCAGCTATGATAAAACTATGTTATTTCTAAAGCTGTTGATAATGTTGTAGTGAGAAGGATAATAGAAGTTGTGTTTGTATATGTAGTTACTGCTATTAATGCTGCGAAATGACTGTTAGTAGTGGAAGAGTTAATAGTGGTAATTGTAGTGGTGATAGTTCAGTAACTGATATATTGGTAATAATGTTAAAAGTGATAGTGTGAAGGGCGTAATGGTAGAAGTATTTGGTACTGTAGCAGGAATAGTGGTCGTCTTATTAGGAATGGTAATATAAGCACTTGATACAGCAATAGTGACAGTGATTATAGAGGAACAGTTAGTAATTGCTATGGTAGCTGTGTTTATAATGTAACAGTGATATAGATAGATTGTATGAAATAGGTTGAAGATGAAGTATTAGTAGTGGTAGTATTAGAAATGATGATTTAAGATGTTGAAACTGTAGCAGAAATAGTGACAGTAGTTAAAGTGGTGATTATTGCAGCAATAGAGTTGTTGTAGCAATGACTCTGATTGTTGTATAATGCAGATGTGTATCATGGAATTTTCAATGTGACACGTACATGCCATTCCATGAAAAGAGTTTAAATCCTAATCTGTTAATTTGTGTCTGATTGAACTACATACAGTTATAGGGAAAGAAAGTGTAGTGCTTAAGTGCTAAAGAAAAAGCATGCAGCCGCGCAATAATCACACACATGATAATATTACCATATCACTGTGGATAATTACGCGACACCGGAACGACGTTGTTGACATTATTCCATTGCGGTACAGTTCAATGTTATTTATCCTCAGACGCTTAACTCTATTTTAGTATCAAATAGTAAGGGCTGTCAAGTGCATTTTTACACGATATATGCACATCACAAAAAACGAATGCCTACATGCTATATCAAGTAAAATATGACGTCAATAAACCAAATGACGTCAGGAAAATTGTTTCTACGCTCAATATAGTTCAGCATATTTTTATCAATTCTCTTTTTCTAGAATGTTAGAATGGAAATAGATATTAATTTTTCTTAAATTGTAGTTTATAAATGCACGGTTTAACGTTCAAATGATTAGTCATTTATCATTCAGGCCTATTGGCCTTTGTGATTAAATTCCTGTCCATTTGAATTCGAACCGCGCATTATTCTACAATAATGAACTCAATATATATTTCCTAACTATGAGGGTCATTGTAACAGTATCTTGAAATGTTTATTTTACTAGAACGTAACAAATACAAGTTCCATTATCAAGATACTCTTTTTAAAGTAGCCGTATTTAATTTGTTGTTTATTTGCGATTAATCATTACTTATCACAGTTTTACGTATTATGCTTTTATAATTGAATGCAAATGTTTGATTGATTCTTTACTTATAGACAAGAATATTTTTTTTTTACTTTTATTCTTATTCAAAACGTAGATTTAAAAAAAAATAAATTTGATATGAGTTTGTTTCAGAAATGTTCTATTAAATCAGCCTTTCTTGTTATCATTTCACACGTCAATATACAACGCTATGATTACAGTGTAATAAAATGTCATGAAATGTACCACAATATCATAACGTTAGCAGTCATTTATATGTTTCACACAAAAGAAACCTATATCTTACGCGAATAGCTTCGTGGTCACTTTACCTAATAGTTTATCATGTTTTCATTGTTTTGCTTATATCTTTAAGTTTTAAAATTATTATTACATGTATAGAAAATCAGCAAGACAAAAAATACTTCTTTGTTCAACAAAACGAATATGTGGCAAGCTTTTTATAACGAAGGTAAGATATAGTGTACACAAATGATTTTTTTCCATTTAATTAAGATAAATATATTTTTCTATTCAAAGCAATTGAAATAGCTTTATTAATTTACACGTGCATGACGTGAATATGCTATATAATATAAACTCAAGCCGACAAACCATATGTGTGTCCACTGAAAACATTCACAGGACAATATAAGATAAGGTCAACACATTTTCTGTTCAATTTTATTTCGATTGCTAAAAATGATTAAATTGCAGTTCGTTGATTTATACATAGAAAGTGTCTCTCTGATATTTTCCCTTCAGTCATACATGGTAAGAAACGTCCAGGCATAAATAAACAGACGGTTACTGTTATCCTTCATAATTGATTGATTATTTTCATCAAATGGAATACCTAATCTGTAGTTAAGTTCATCATAGAAAACATTGTTAAGATTAAGCGTATTTAGCGAAGCAACAACTTTTATCTTTTTATTTTCCGGGTCGCTATTTACAGTTATCAGTTATATCAACACACTATACCATTTCTCACCAGATGGTATTTTGATATAATATATACAGGATGTTTGTGAATAATTCAACATACTAGTTTTCATAAATCATTCATGTTCGTGGCACTTTTAATCTTTTAATCTAAAAGGTTAGTACAGGACAGAAATAAATTGTTTTATTTTAAGTTTAGTTGTCTCCCAAAGGAAAAAAACTTCGAAACTCTCAAGTAACCATAACGCAGCGTAACCGTTACCGCAACGAAAGAGAAAAACAATATTTGTTTGTATTTCTTACCTACCAACGAGCGAGTGAAGTATGGTCGCAATAGTGTAAAATATTAAACATTTCCACTTACGCAACCACGCATATACAATATTTTTGTTAACTACACCATATTTGATACAACAGAATAAAATTGCAATGAACATTATTAAGAAGACATTATCCAATAGAAACATATGTCATTAAATGGTATTTTGAGAAGATAACAGAAGATAGGAGATTATAGTTTAAAGTTTCAAGACGTATTACGTATTATTAAATAGTGAACATTATAAGATAAATATAAACAAATATTTGAGAGATATGAACAACAATAGTATTGTATCTGTTACAACGATAAACCAGTTCTAATATCTCTCGTAATATTTATCACATGCCTTAGATTTCAAGATATGTTATACATGCAAAGTCATGAAAATCATTCCATTTAATAAAATGTTAGGAAATAAATCATGCCTAAAAATCAGCTTCATTGAAATGTCATGCTACTCATCCGAGTCTATAGCAGTTCTCATGCGATCTAAGAGAGAGTTGCGTTTGTTTGGATTACCACACCCGAAAGCCCCTGGGTTGCAAAAGAAACGTTTTTCTCCAGGAACATTTCTTCTATACCCTTTTGGAGCGTTTCGGAACATAAGACGTTTTCCTGGGTTTCCACAGCCAAAGAATCCATTACAGAACGGTCGTTTCGTACGTGGTGCAGGATCAGAGGGAGTTTCATGCACAGATTCAGGAGAAGAATTTGAAAGACGAAATGATTCAAGAAGATTAGGAGAAAGCCTCTTGCCACGGAGACGTCCACATCCTGTGAAACCATTACAGAATGGACGCTTGCTTACCGGCCCATCAGCAAAGTCTTCATCCGTTTGTAATTCGTCATCCAGCAACCTATCAGCAACTTCATCAATTTTCTCTAGAGCGACAAGACGTCTGTCGAATTCGGTGAGATCATCTATAGATGGATACTCTCTACTGTCTCGCAAAGGACCAGTTGATAATTTATCACTCAGTATCTGAATAAAGTAGATTTACATTTAAGTCATCTGTGGCAATACAAACTCTTTTAAACATGTAAAAACTACTGCTATGTTGCACCATATGTCAAACATGTATTTAAGCGCACATTAATCCATTCATACCGCAGGAATTTAGAGAATTCTCTTATTAAGTAGATTCCTAACAAGTATCCCAAAGTTCCCAAGGAAACGTGAAATAGTAGAAGAAAAATATTCAATTAGAGAAGGCTCTAAAATCCTTAATGTGTCATACACTGATAAAAAAGAATATAAATCAATAATCAAGCAGTTAGAGTATTTTGTTAAAAAATTTAATGATTGAAATTCGACCGGATGTGAGCTTTCATAAGAATTTCTTATCAGTTGTTTTTTAAGACAATATTGGCCACAAATGTCATTTGACAGAGCGCGATCTTTTTATTCATTCTATACAAAAAAGGAGTGTAAAACGTTATATGGTAACAAAAATAAATTTATTGATAACATGTAATTTCTAATACTAGAATTACTTATCATTTTGTTAATTTCTCTGAAATTATAAATAGAAAATTATACTTTTTTCAAATATTTGATAGTTTTTCAGTGTGTTGCTGTAGAATATATTATTAAAAAAATCGATGGTAAAGTGTTCGGATTCTTACAATATATCTTGATTAATTAGAATATTTTTCAACGTATTAACACTAAAAATATTATTATCTCTAAATGTGTGTTTTATTTTTCTTATTCATCGACAACGACTGTAATGCATCGGGCAAGAAGGTAATAACAAAAGGTAATTAGAAGCTTGTGTTTATAAATCTTCACCAAGTTTATTTACAAAAAAGTATTTAATCCATCACAGACAGTCAAGCGCATTGAAAATGTTTGACAAATACATAATACCTGATTCTAGCAAAAATGACATAACATTTATTCATGAATATGATTATTGTAAATATGACTGACAGTATCATTCATTATCACAAAAGGAAGAAGGATTTCTTTTAAGACTTGCCGATCATGGCGGCATGTGGTTAATATTCTTACAAAAAAAATTTGAAGTTTGAAATGTAACGCTTTAACACCCATCAGTCTTGAAGAATTTCAATTCCGTTCTCTCTCTCTCATTTCTTTTGGAAATGATTACAATTTATAGTTGAATATTGGGAGTATAGATTACAAAAAAATCTTGGCGTTTTCTCAAATTACTAGTCTCCTTTAGATAAACAGTAAATGTGCAATCCCTAAACAACGATATGTATCACATTATAAAGTTTCTACAGGAGAAAAGAAAACAACAATAATAATGATAAAACCAAAGTTGTGTTTGTTTATTAAAGACAATTTATAGAAGGGGCTCTACATATAAAGCACATAGTCGTGCGTAATATGAAAACTAGTATTATAGATATATTATATTCTATTAAATTTGAAAAAAAATCGGTAAAGTTGTTGTACAAAATGGACAGAATAAGGCAAGCTTAATACGTAGAAGATAATAATATGACATGATTCTCGGTTTATTTTTCAACTATGATAAGAATATTATAACGTTTTCAAAATACAATCTTTAACAACATAACATTATCTTTTCACTCGAATTTGATAAATTTATTCAAATATTGTAAAATACATGTATAAATTTACTGTTTTGTATATAACTTAATTTGCACATATTTAAATGCAAAATCAGAAGATAAATGTTCTTGATATCATGTAGAGAAGGACAACTTTTGTATTGTTCTAACTGGGAAAATAATGAAATTGTATATTTAAATTATATAGTTTTATGAATCATTGCTATAGAAGAAAATTATGTAAGTACATGTAAGAAATTGAAGATGAATACAATGCCGAAATTCCTTAGCCTTTTTATTGACATGCTTATGCTTTTTAAACCTATGTTTTCATGCAATATTATTGTTATTAATCATGCATCGTGTAATATAAACTCACCTGTGCAAGTTGATCGTCCGTCAGTCTTGCCGTCACACAGACACTGATTAAGGTGGAGAAGAGAAAGTTGAAACTCAAAACTATATTCATCATTCTCATTGAGCAGACAACTTCGATTGAACTGAAAATAGACGACATGTTACACAATTAACTCAAATAATTCATCTTTTAATCAAATATAAATAGATTGATAATAGGCAACGTGTGCAAAATTATCTCCTTAAATAAATCTTTGAATCAAAGATATATAGATTGATAATAGACGACTTGTACACAATTAACTCAATTAATTCATCTTTTAATCAAAGATACATGTATATAGATTAAATATAAGCGACGTGTACACAACTATCTGCTTAATAAATATTTTAATGAAAGATATATGAAAGATATATAGATTGAAAATTAGACGACATGGACACAAATATCTCCTTAAACAAATATTTTAATCAAAGATATGGAAATAAGTGTTTTGTCAGTTGCTGTTTTTAATTCTTTTTAATTATCAATAAGCGAACAAATCAAGATGAAAATAATCTAAATTATGACGCCATGAATATTAAGAGGATATTTTTTCGTTTGCGTGAAATATGGTATATATAACAAAATTCAGATAAAAGTTGTTTTGTATGTATCAGATTTTTCAAACTAAACGGCGAAAGAAGTCCCTTAAAATAAATATGTCAGTTGCTGTTTTGATTTTTTAAAATGAATAATAAGTGAACAAATCAAGATAAAAATAATCTAAATTTTATCGCCATGAATATAATGTATATACTTAAATCTATGTGAACCTAAATAAATATTTTACAAGGAAGTGCATTTTTCGAAATGCGACTTGTAGTTTGCATAAATCACATCTACATATTATGACTTATTTAAAAAAAAATCTATAACATACTCTATCTTCATTCTTAACATTCTTGTCAGGAATTCTAGATATATTGCTTGTGTCAAACCTACTTTAATTCAACAGTTTAAGAAAGCTATATTAAGACTGAAATAAGAAATCAGTAATAAAATAAGTGAGAAAAACATGTTTTTGTAGGATTCAAATCATGTTTCAGAATGGAATATACCCCCCTGTAAACCAAAGTGGTAATGCGTTTGCCTCTTTTTCTAATTGATATATTTGTTTAGACGCTATCATATAATCTTGATACAAATATATGTATTGTAACATGCAACAGACTAATGTTTTATCAGTCTACGTATCTATTACAAATAAAAAAACTTTTTTGTCACTCTTATGCGAAAGAATATACCGTCTTACGGTCGTTAAATATATATTTTGTACTCAGACAGATAATGCATAGACATGTTAAACATAAAACTTTTATACAAATGTGAAAACAAGAAAGTATCATCGGATTGTCTCCGAATTTAGATGAGACAAACCTAACAGTTTCAGATAGAAAACAAACCCAATTTTCTATAAATGATGTACTTGGCTTTATACAACTGTTGATGGTATTAGAGACGAGACCAGAGTATGTCCACTGACATCACAATTCTTCACGCGAAACGACACGTAGCTAATCAAATTTATCCATTTATTTGGCTATTCACTGTCAGCCGTAGTGTGTTGATCTATTCTGTGCTAAATTATTGATAAATGTATACACTTAACACTCACAAAACACCACTTTCTGTGTTTGCTCCTATCCTTTTTTAACACCAAATGTGTCTGAGGTGAAGGGTTTGAGAAGAACAAACACACAATCGGAAATGTCATAGAACTTGCATTACAAATTTTGTTTGGGCAGAAAAAATGATATATTTAGTATTTCATTACTATTTATCATATTGGTAACGAAGTTAGGTATCTTCAGGGATGTTTTCATGTTCTTTGGGGAAGAGAGATGCTTTCAACATAAGCTATTTACGTAGTGCTTGAGTTTTACTTGGTCATAGTGACTTTGTATTTATACTTCTCAAAAAATAATGATTCATAACTACAAATTTGCGTTGACTAAACGTAAATAATGCACAACATACAGAAGTTGATTAAAATTAATCTTATCGCATATTGTAAATAAAATCAAATTAATCTTAATTGTGTTATTCGAAGTACAATTGATAATTATTTAGATTTAATAATCTCACTTTCAGTTTGCGATGTTCTTTTAATCATAAATAAAAAACACAATTTTTATTTGAGCGACATACAAAGAAATTGATTGTTCTTGATTTTCAACTTTATCTATGTTTACACAGAGCCAGTAGCACCGTCTATCAAAGAGGTTTCAAACTATAATTAGTTTCTTTGTTTACTTAAATGAAATAGATTCGATACATTTTGTAGCACATTCAAGTAAGCGCGACTTTTTCCAGATTTTTATTTAATATGATTTAACTTTTTTATATTTCAATCGCCTTGGAGATAAAGGATTATTTTAATTTCTTCCAATATATGTTTTTAAATGTATGATATATTAAAAACGAATATTTTATTGACATTATCTGTCATTTTACACAAAATATATACAAATTAAAATATATATCAGAGGCGTCCGTGGTCGAATGGTTAAGTTAGTTGACTTCAAACAAACTTTCCCCTTATCGCTGTGGGTTCAAATCCCGATATTGACTATGGATTCTTTCATATGAGCAAGCTATCCAGCTAGCTTAGAAAACGTCGGTGGTTCTACTCAGGTGTCCTTTCGTGCCTGAAATAATGCACGGTAGGGCAACTGAGGTCTTTACCCAGTAAAAAAACTGGGAAGTCGCTATATGACTTTGACTGTATTGGTGCAAAGTAAAACCAAATACAAATAGATAAATAAACATTTTAGTACACACGTACGGACATACGAGAAGATATGTAACCTTTGAAACCCTGCACAGCACACAATAGGTAAATTCAGCATGTATACATAGTGTCATTAAACTTAACATGACCAGTATTAAGAAATGCAGCTTTCTAAACAACAAACTTCATGCATTCTGTTATTCAAATTAGACAAATTCAGTAAAACTTCCTAGATTTCAAATTAAATACATTTTTCAGAACTTTTTGTTGCATTTGTAATGTTTATACAATAATAATAATAATAATAATAATAATAATAATAATAATAATAATAATAATAATAATAATAATAATAATAATAATAATAATAATAATAATAATAATAATAATAATAATAATAATAATAATAATAATAATAATAATAATAATAAATGCTGTATTTACCCATCAATAACCGAACCGAGACTTATTTAAAATAGTACGTTTTGAATATTACAAGTTTATAATTTGATATGTTATTATTGCGTTTGTTTTTTACATAAGATTAACCTCTTTGCATTGTCAAACAACAAAACAATGTTTTATTTGCTTTTCAGATCGCAAACTTTTGGTTGATAAATTATCCCGGCTTTCAAAAATGTTGCCAGTTCTCAACCATATTCATCAAATATAACTCAATGTCACACAACCATAAAAGTTGGGCACAATTCGTCTGATGTATAAAAAGATGTTGATGTATTACTCATACGATATCTACAGTATATCAAACAACCCATGAAGAACAAATGATCTTACTACGATTGTAAATGAAACTTTCACTTCCCCCCTCTTTTTTAATTTATTTTTACATATAAATGATGGTTTATTCACCGCTTTTAAATTGTATTGTAAATGTATATGATAAAATATTTGTTAACTCAGTGTGATTTTATGTTTTATAGTTGACACTGCCGTGATATGTATTATGAACTTCATTTTTAAATTCAACTTAAAATAAAACCTCAGTATTTAAAAGTGTAGTAAACCTATTTTTGCATATCAAATAATATTTTAGTACACCATATGGCTGTGCCATTTGATTTCCCTTCAAACCATTACATCTTTTATCTTGCCTTAAAGTAAACATATAAAACTGATAAATCTTTCTGTAATTTAGTTCATTTAATGACCAATATTTCGGAATTCTTATACAATACTATAAACAAATCATACACGTTGTAAAGTTGATGGATGCATCAATGAGTTCTTTTTGAATAAAAGATATATAAGAATAGATACAGAAATGAATGGTCGAAAAATCTTGTTACACATCTTGTTTTAAATATAATCAGTATTTACAGATAGAAGACACATTTTATCTCCATCTTAAAGCAAAACACTATAACACAATCATTAGCATCATTCAATATCTGTACATAATTTAATATATGGTGCTGAGTGCTGCTTTGTAGAATTTAAGTATAATATTTTTTTCACATGATAAATCTAATGTCCCTGTTTCTTATTCTGTTATAACAAAGCCCTAACCTGATTATGTTGGTCGATTTTACATGTTAACATTAATATTTCTAAACATCTCTGGTCATGCATGTTATAATTCTATAATGATTTTGTGGTTTTCAGTATTAGGGTGATTCACTTGTTCTAATACATTCTGTACTGAATCAGTATCAATATTCGATAACATCTGAAATAGACCAGCGTATTGTAATTTTTATCTCATTCGTAATTATCGACAGCTATTCTTTCATTCTATGTGTTTGGTGGCATTCATCAAGTTTGAATTTCATAGAAATTTGAAACTTATTAAAAATTCATAGTCTCATTGGCTGTATAAAAGTATTAGCAAATACCGTATCTTTATACCATTTGCCAATTCATTCACTAATTGTTTGAGTACCCTTTATAAATTCCAAGTGTATCACATTTCATTGTTGACTTTTAGTTTTTTTATGATACCAACATGTTTTATATACATTCTCAACAGTGTGCTCTATTCAGTTCAATTATAGTGGAATCCAATTACAAATTGCCCTTTAATTAGCAACAATGAAACGTAATGTAGCATTGCTAATGTCAACGAAATGTAGTCTCCCAGAAAATGTCAGTCTGATATTACTAGAGATATCATTTGCTTTGCATATACGAGTGTTTATTTCAAGCTTAAGCGAATGAAAAATACATTGCTAATTTTAAAGATCAAAATCTAGAAAGAATTAACTGTTCAATCAGCGTTCGTTACAGAACTGCCAAACGATTCAATTAAAAATGCAGTATATTTTGGTATGATATTACGTTCTTGTCCTACAAAATAAAGAACTTTGGTATAAAATTTATGACTAAATTAAAAATTGTAAAAAGGCTGGCAGAGAAATATTCATTGGTGGAAAAAAAAACACAATATCAGCGGGGTATCTAAGAAAATAATATTTTGCACAAAGAATATACTGCTACAAATATTGTTGAAAATTGCACCTAATTTCAACGTAAACAAAACGAAAATTGAGTAATGATATGCTATAACAAAGTTCAGTTCAGCAGTCATATATGACTTTGAAAATAATTTACAAGTAATTTTAAAAATATAGTAACAAAAATATTGATTGCGTAACTTGAAAAATGGTTATAAATTATTCGATATATTTATAAGTACAACTTTTAAAGCCACTACATATTTATTATTATTTTATCTACGGAAACTATTATTTAAAATATAAATATCAAATTAGAAGAATTCATAGTATTAAATATCAAAAGCTAGAAAAAATATCAGTAAAATAAAAACATGTAATTAAAGTATATTTTTTTAACTGAAAGAAAATCCCTGTTCTAAAGCAAATGTCGTAATAATTTTTGTTCACATCATTACTGATGTAATAATAAAATAAAAAAGGAAAATATATATTATATATATATAAGTAAATACTGAGGAACAAACTTACATTTTAGCTAAGCAGAATAGGACATTTACAACAATAATCTTTCATTTTGATAGAGCTGTATTTGTATAAGATAAGATAAGAATAAGTACTGCAACTTGTATTAAAGGCACCATTAATTTAAACAAATATTGAAGGATGTCTCATTGTTTTAGAAAATTATCAGGAGATTTACGAAGGCTTCATTATGGTGCTAAATATATAATTGAGCCACGTAACGACAAAACCAACATACTGCGTTTGCGACCAGCATGGATCCAGACAAGCCTGCGCATCCGCGCAGTCTGATTAGGATCCATGCTGTTCGCTTTCAGTTTCTCTACTTGTAATAGGGTTGGTAAGCGAACAGTATGGATCCTGATCAGACTACGCGGATGCGCAGGCTGGTCTGGATCCATGCTGGTCGCAAGCGCATTACGTTGGTATTGTCGTGACGCGGCTCATATATTGTTTTATTTTGTAATATACATATTGTTAAATATTACGATAATAAAGTCCAGTGCATTATATAAAAGTGTCTTGTGATGTGTAACACATTAATCAGATAACTTGTAAAAAAAATAAGATGGATTATCTCACTGAATTGCAGACACATAATTGTGTACGTTTGAATATTAAGAATATTTAAAAGCGATCATGAGTACATGACCGCTTTTAAATAAAATTCTGAGTTTTAAAGACTTTCAAAAAACGTATATCTTTTAAATTAAAACATTCTTTAAAACATTCAGAGGATATACGTTTTTGTATGAAGCGGAGAAGGCTAGATCAAAAGTATTCAAATAGGTTTTAGAACACTTAACATTGCTGGTTAGTGACAAACATTGTTGATGAGCGTAAATCTTGGGACATCTTTCTACATTACTTTTCCACATAATTAAATAAATAAGTAAGAACTAAAAATGTATTAACACTGAAATCCGCTGGAAATAAGCTACATAAGCTAAAAACATATTTCTTACTAAGTACACGCCATCCCAGATAAAATTCTGATGATATTTACCAACATCTTTATCAGGTGACCAAATCCACTATTACTTTTCGGCATTGTCGAAAGTGTTGAGTTATTTAGTCAAGAAATATTTAGAGGAACATCATTTTAAAACATATTTGAATCAATAAATAATTTGTTCCTGGATTTTGATATAAAAACTAATAAATGTACAATTAGACATCAAATGAATTTATTGAAGACCCAGTATGCCCTACATTTTATTTCTCGAAAACTTTTTTATATTTGGTGTGATTTTATTGTTTCCAAAAGTTACTTCTTGGCCAATTACCCAAGTTATTTAGTTCTGGGAATTTATACATTTATAGTGATTAAATATTTTGTATGGAAGACAAAATACTACTTCATTTACATTTTGCTACTTTTGCAACAAACAATTTCACAATTGTTTTCGGGTAATAAGATCAAGCATGCTCTAAAACTATTATTTATAAATATTATAAAACTTACGTTTAATCTTCTTAAGAAAGAAATAATTATTCGTATCTGAGTGATAACGTTCCATTAAAAGAGAATTTTCATTTTATTTGAAAAGAATGATTTATTAAATTAATAAAAGGGGAAAACAACTCCTATTTATAAAATAATTATACTCGGAACTGAAACTATTGTTTACTTAGCAATACATGATTTGTCGGTGGAATATTTCATACTTGAATTGTATTTGATTCATATTTTCATACACAATCTCGACAAATATAAATATTGTATATCCAAAGCTTAACTACTGGTATTGATAAAAGACACCGATGAAAAGGCCTTCAATAAATTAATTATAAATTGTAAAGAACCAAACGCAACACCGGTATTAAATTACGACCATGAAAGCCGATGGAATGATCAAGTCACATTAGGTAATTTACAGGTAATTTGTAACTTCATTCCTTTGGGACCATAAATCTTTCGTTGAGTTTAGACATTTTACTATGATAAAAAACTTTAATGAATCCTTTGGTTTATACAAAAAGTCATCGATATCATGTATATTTTCTAATCTGGTATGACACAAAAAAGTAAGGGTCGTGCTTTATATTATGTCAGTATCCTTTCACCCTCTAAACAATTAATGTTTACATGTTTTTTCATCTATGATTTTACTTAATATGGATTGTTTCGTCAAATATCTTTTTGTCTCCAAATGTTGAATAAATCGATATAAATATATATATTATTATCTCACGGTATGAAGAGAAAGTTATCGAAAATTTTATAATGCATATCGACTTTACTCAGAAATAGCATAGTTTAAGTTTGTCTTAATGTAAAGATATTAATGTTAATACAGAATAAAATTAGGCATTGAGCTGCATTTACTTTAATTGGCAACTTTGATGACTAAATTATAATGAAGATAAGTCTATCTGTTTTAGATACATTTAAAAATAATGTAATTTTCATCATAATTGAAACTCTTTTTAGAGGGCCTGTATTCTTCTTAAATCTTAAACTAGATTAACTATTTTTCGCCTAGGAAAATTTAAACGTTTACTTTCATCAAGAAAAATGATACAATATATAATTATATAAAATGTTCTGAAAAAAACACACACAAAAAAAAACAACAACAACAACACAATATCAAATGAACTGACCCTATACACTTTACCATATTTTTCACTATAAAGAAGTTCATATTGTAGATCTCACATGGTATGACATTACAGTTAACATTGTTCATTACGCATGAAAGAGAGAGGTGATTATTTCTATTAATCTATGTAAAACAGTATTTATCTGAAGTATTTACCATAAATTACGGGTTTAACATTCTGCCTATTATAAAACATAACTAACAACAATGATGTATAATTATTACTGAAAAGAGAGAGAGAGAGAGAGAGAGGAAAACACCCCTCGGAAAAAACCAGACTTGCCTATGTTCACATATAATATTTTCTGCTGCTTTTGTTTCTTATTCATATTACTTGACAGACATAATGAATAAGGCTTTTTATAATGAAGAAATCTTTATAATTGACAGTTAGGAAAGCATTAGAACATATATTAATATATTTGCATTCGGATAATAAAAGAAAGTTACATACACACATTTTTAAACGAGTAAATTTTCATGTCGTTTGACCACTCAATAAAAAAATATTACAAAATATTCGAACAAGAGTCATTATACTCACGTCATTCAACTAAATGCAATTGATATAAACGCTTTACATTAAATTTCCTCCGTTTTTTTGAAAGTGTTATATTATTTCATGACGGCAATATGAAATATCATTTTCATACATATCGATGCATGCTTATGTGACATAAATTAATTAAATATTTCATTTCATATATTGTTATGAATGTAAATATGTAAAAACGTTTAAATGTTTCCGTCAATATAATATTGACAACAAAAAAACATCAACATTTGAAAATTTACGTTATATCGTGTTTTAAAATTGTATACAGGTTGCTACTGGTATATGCCTTATATCTCATAACTTGTAATACAAATTAAATATATATTGGTTTCACCAGTATAAAATAAATAATTGTATGAAAAGGAAATCAAATTTTTATTCAACTTAAAACTCTTTATGTTGAATTTGCCATATAAAACAAAATGATTATCATGGATTCAGTAGCCATATAATATCAATTTTTAATTGAAAGATTGAAGTAGAAACTACAAAAGTAACAATATTATTTATTTTACGTTGCTATACATTTTCTCAAGAAACTCCACAAGTTTTCTACAAGAGACGACTACTGTAAAACTTTCCATCTATCTAAAGAAAAAATATCAATATTGAAATAATTCATCTTATTGAATTATTAATATTTTTGTAAAAGAAAATTACGAAACGTACCTTTCAGAGAACACGAAAAACTGTTGTAATGCCTTTCCGCTTTTTCGTTTATGTTGCAATCTATATAAAGGAATTTACTGCGTAGGTATTCACACATTTCATTGTAGAAAATTTGTTTCCAACATTGTACTGTAATACCGTCATCAAAATGGGCGTCTCTTTCCTCGCGCGCTTTCAATAGGCTATCACGTGATCCAGCGCATGCGCTATTAATAATGGATGATACAAAAGCGATGTAAAATGTTACTTAATCCCCATGGAAACGGTTTCAATTCACTTATGGAATAAATGGCAATGGCAAATGAGTAAGGACCGAAAAGCTTGTCGGACTGAATAATTTCATTACGATATAAGACTCGCTTGTTAAGAGTTGCCATTCAAACAAAAAGTGAGTTTCGTCTAGGATTTACCAATAGCTGGATTCAGATTATTAAATTTAAGTGTCCCATCTTCAGAAACATCCATCGATGTACATAATAATTAACATCTATAATCCTGTTGCGTAAAAAAGTGTATATTGCTATTAGAAATATTTTCATAGACTTTAGTTTGTCTAAATCGATGAACTGTTTCAAAGACTGCAATCAGATAATGTTTGGCTCCGTGATTCTAAACTTTAAATCAATGACTTGTTTTTGAATTAATGAACAATTCCAAATGACAAGGATATCTAATACCGTTTAATTGACTGGTATATTTATATTTGCCTATTCAAAATAAAATGCACTGAATGTGAGCTTTGATTTAGCTTTTTGTGAAAAAGAATTTTAATGAGTTCCGAACGCTTAAACCATTTTATTTAAAAAAAAATCTTACATAGATCAACAGATACTCTTGAAACAAAACTATAAACAATAGAAAAGAACAAATTATACTCAGAATTAAAGATATATTATGCTTATATTTGATTATTGAAAAAAGCTACATGTAGAGCCTTTTCTACAATGCAAAATAAACGTTTTTTGAATACAGTTTAAAACTCAACACACTATAGGTAAATACAAACTGAATACATAATTTCATTAAAAGAACTGGCAGTTTTTTTAATAAAGGACCAAATTGTTTTGTCTCATAAATGTATACAAATTAGTAATTTGACTGCCATACAAAATAATTGTTCTTTGTAGCTGTGCCAAAAGGCAACGGATTAGAGAGTTGGCCAATTAGTAACTTTTAGGATACTATAAAAGTACAACAAATTTAAATAGTTTGTCGGAAATAAAATAAAAAGCATTTCTGAGGCCTTTAAAATGTTTTTTAGAAATCCCCCAAAAACATAAACAAACAAAATAAATATAAGAAAAAGAAAAAAGAAGAAGAATGTCCTGTCATGAGAAAAAACCTCAGAACCTCAGTTAAGTCCTTTAACGTATCAGATCAATTAATGATACATTTAAATTGAGGCAAAAAATTTAGCAATAATTTTATTGGAATTGTTTTATTTCATTGCACAGTCTGCACCAAACATCCTGAATATAACTGTTGTAGAACAAAAACAAGCATTTGAGTGAAATGATAGAAGGTGTAATTTCAATAAAAATGTAATCGACTGGCATATGCATGTCAAATATATCAATTCAATAGTCAAACTTCCTACCAAACCAAAACAAAACCGAATAAATTACAACTAAATGACATATTTATTAAAATATCGATCTTAATGAGAAAACGAAAGCAGTGAAACTCTTTTAAAATCCCAAACAACCTAACTATTCTTAAGATTTGTTTTTGCTGTGCAAAGAACCATTCAATGAAAAATTCACTTCAAGTACAAAACGTGTTTGAACGATGAAAACATGTGATACTATATCATATATAAAGGTCGCTCGAACGATGGCAATATCTGATAGTCAGACATGGTTTATCATCTTTGGGAAATGCTTTAAACAAATACTCCCTTGACAAATATTATCTGAACATATAAAGTGCGTAATTGCATAGTTAATTCTTTAGCTAATTAGATCTATTCCACTCAGGCAGAAACTATAAGTATCAGTACTATTTCTCTGTCTTTAAAAGTAAAAGATAAATAAAACTTATTTTGTTATGGCAACAAACATTCCGCAAATATTGCTAAGGGGTATTTAATAGTTAATGTAAAATCTGTACATAATGGCCAATTCATGATTATTTTTATTATTTCTATCTTATAGGTTTCAGATGAAACTGTTGTAATTATTGATTAAATTTAATAATAAAGTTATTGAGTTGAAACTTACGGTCGGTCCAATGATTTGACCGTTATCAAACCTCGATTAAAGCGATTAAAGTACTTTTTTCAAGATACTTTGATTATAATGTAATTTATGTAAGTGTCTCCAAATGATTCAGGAACATTTTTGCGTCATGAATATTTGTAAAAAATGCCACGACAATATATTACAATGTACATGATATTGTAAACTTCGTGTTACTGCCATTTTTCTATCTTAGTTATACACTGGGCTTTGTTTATATCAGATAACACACGCTATATACCGAGATTCATTCAAGCTGCAGATGAACCATAAATAATAAACAAAACATCATATCGCAATGACTTACAATAGCTTCCTACAAAATTGACGTGTTACAAATACAAATGTTACATGAAATGAATGAATTAATGCTCTTTGTGTAATGCTGGCCTTTTCATAGAGCATTTATTAACTGATAATTATCAAACCCGGACATGGAAAAAATCATGAAACGAATTTTGCATTTCTCCTTAAGGTTATGTTCGTGCTTTTAGCAACATATCAAAGTGGAGACAAATATTTCATTGAAGAATTAACTGATGAACGGTCGTAGACAAACAAATGGTTTTCTTAGTTAAAATGTACTGAAACAAACTTGTAGATGAAGTACTGTTAAATGTTAAAGAGTCTTCAGAATATCTAGATATTCCTTTCTGAGATAAAATTGTTTCATTAATAGGCATAATATCATTTGCATGTTTGTACGGGCGGTGCAATATTATTCACTATTTAAAATAACTGAATTTCGCGGAATGAAATTTAATGTTTATCTCTTGTTTAGAACAAAATTAGTCCTCCTATAGAAATACAAGCATAGACTTTATATCACATCAGCCCTTTTGAAAAAATATACATGAAAGTTGAGATCACCAAAGAAGATAAACGTTGATTTTAGCAATGACTCTATGGGTATAAGACTCAAGTGATATGCATTGATATCTTTTTATCCTGAGGAAAAAGGCAACGTTATTAGTAAATTAAAAAAAAGAAAAACGAAATCTCTTTGGACAAATGACAAAATACATAAAAGCAGCTTTTGATCTACGATAAAAAAAATTTAAACGCGCATCTGTACTCAAACACTGTCATTACGAATATTTATACTTTGAGGTGTTAAGAGTTTCTTAACATCGGACTGGAAGGCGGACAGAAGGACGGACAGAGAAACGGACGGACAAACAGATGGAAGAGGGAACGACTGGGCGGACAAAACCAAATGTATATCCTTTCAACTTAGGGGGTAATTATAAAACATATCTTTTGAGCGAACAAAACAGGAATATTATAAGGTTCGAACACACTGAAATTAGTAACATATAACACACTCTTTCGAAAATATTCGGATCTATCTTGAAAACGTACACCCGTTCAATTACCTAGCCATCATATGTTTTTGAAATCTATTGAGATATGGGAAAACTATATTACACAAGCTGATTTTTCATTTCTTATTACATTCTCTGTCTATGATTGCTCTTCCTGCTTTATGAAATTATCTTTGACATTTATCTATACAAAAAAGTCTTTCCATTCCCGGATGCTCTTTGGCTTATCTATCATTGCGTATTGTTGTCAGTTATCCTTAGTTTCTATAATGGGACTTATTGCTGCTTTATGAAATAAATATGAGAACATAGATCAACTAGGAACGGCGACATTCAATGAAGTGTTACATTGAAAATTCAATGGTTAATGTTGTATGAACAAATCTGCGGATGTTTTTAAATAATTTCCCTTCCCTCATATTTGTCCTTGACACATCAGTAATTTATATAATAATTCGTAATAGAGGCATGATCAGTTTCATAATGAGCATATGAATGTGTATCAAAAAGGTTATAATAACCTTCAAATGCTACATAATAATATCCCCTTAATAATTAATATTGACTAATTGCATATTGTAATTGAATTCCCCATTGATAGGCATAAAACATAAAATAAATGTTTTGACCGCCTAATGGTATGACTGTATGCATACAATTATTGCCTTCAAATGTCGTTTCGTTGAATATTTCGTCTTTTTGATATAAAATACAATATTTATGTTTGAATAAAGATGGGAAAATATATTCACAGCAAGATTGTGAAAAATTCAAAGTAGAAGCATTTATCAAACACAATATCGTTACAGCTATTAATTGGAAGAATTATCATAAAGTTGTTCATTATTATCCAACTATAAAACCAAACCTAAGCTAAGTTTGTGTCGTCGCTGAAAAAGCCGTTAGTTAGCTTTTTTGTTTATGCAACGGTACAAACATAAAAGGCAAAGGCGGCTGTAAGAAATTAATAATTGAACTTTAAATCATCATAGTCTGCAGTTTATTCCGCTTCTTTAAGCGTTAACAATAAAATGAATTAGAAATAAATAATCTATAGCCTTCATTTGTCATAAACACTTAGTAGGCGATACGTCTCAAATACAATAGTTCTGCTCAAGAATTACGTGCAATCTCATTGAATAGACAGGAAAATCAATATCCGATTAGCACATGTTATTATTCACTAAAATGAGATATATTTTAAAACAAGAAGTATTAAAAAAGGCTACTCGGTCGAAGTGAAAATAAACTTGCCTATGTTAGTTCATAGTTTTCCATGCAAAGTCATATAGAAATGTTAGCATATCTTGCATGACAATGACAAACTTATTTCTTGTAGGGTTATTACACTTTCAGATGTATGTGTTTTTAAACGAACCTGTCGTTTTTCGGGAAGGAAGTGAACTCAATTTCTAACACCACCATCTGCACAGTCGGTAAGGCAATTGTTTTATTAATACTTGATTAATATGCAAAAATATATGAAAAGTATAAACATTATATCAATTGGACACACCAATTATCTTATAATATGTTAGTCACTTATTGAACATCATAAAGTGAGGGTTCCTTGATTCTCCTTTTTTTTTGGACAAAATTTAAAACTAAGAACCTGTGTAAAATAAAAGTTCTCACGCAAAATAAAC